CCAGGAAAAAGCCTTTGAAAGCTTACAGGGCCAAGTGCCACTGAACACCCTGCCTGCCCTCCTTGCTCTCCTGCTCCTGACCCACTTAGAGAAAGCATTAGGACCACGGCGCTTTCCCCGTTCTCTACCTTCCCTTCCCCTCTGCTTTGTCTACGTGGACACGGGTGAATCTGAGTCTCTTCACACAGGCTTCTGACAGACGGTCCCCTATACAGGGAGACAGCCAATAAGAGAGAAGAAAAGGGATTCATGAGCTCCCGCAAAATCACCAAGAAGAACTGGGAAAGACTCCATGTATCCCTTCCCTGCTATGGCCCAGGTGGCAGTGCTGTGCCTTCCCAGTCCTTGACAGCAGTTTACCCACAAGGCATGCCGGTCTGATCTGTGGGCAAGTGCAGGGAACACACAGAAGAGACCACCTCCCCTCCCATCTGTCCTCTGTTTTAACCTCCAGACCCCTGGAGAATCAAAAAGCACAGCCTCCAGGCTGTGAGGAACACAAGCGCATCTCAGCCCAGCTGCTCCTTAGCAAGATGCGGGCTCGACGCTAAGAAAAACTGGCGTCCTCATCTCCCTCTGTCTGTAGGTTTTCTTGGGGGATATAAGACAGGATTCAGGACACACGTGCCTCAATATAAAATGTAAATTACTCACCACTGGTCAGTGGTTCCTCAATGATAGTCCTGGATAGAGGAATAGACCCAAACATCTGAAACACTGGCCCTTAGAAGGAATAAAGCTTTGCACAGAGAACCATGACACAGAAAATGGGTCCCTGCCCAGAAGAGCTTACAGGCTAATACCTATACGGGCAGAAGCAAAACACGTTTTCCCCATACGGCATGTTGTTGAGATCTTGCTCTTAATGGTATAAATCCTTGTAAATCCTCCAGATTGAAAGATGAATTGAGGGAAGCATGGTGTGTGTGGCAGGAGGCATTGCAGCCAGCCTGTGGATAATGTGACAAGCCCAGGGACTCACGGCCCAAGTAAGCATGTGGAGGGTCCTGCAAGGGGGGGGCAGGTGCTACTGCTGCTGAAGACTGTCCCTCCAGACTGTCCTCTCTGACAGGGGCCACTAAGCCCAGGCAGCCACCCAGCCCACAGCCCACCTCCGTGCATCTGTCTCTGTTTCCCAAGAAGAGTGTGCCAGATGCCAACTGGGTTATGCTGAGACTGAGCTCAACTTGTCTTGTTCCCAGTGCCCAACCCCAAACCAGGCTCACACAGTCCATGCTCAGTATTTATGGCATGAAAAAAATAAATTAAACAATGCACTTGAGAAAACAGCCCCCAAGCCTAACCCTAACCCTAACCCTAACCCCTCCCTAATCCTAACCCAATCCTAATCCTTCTTTTTGAAATTTTCATTACAGGACCAACATCAGAAGCATCCTTGGTCACTTTTATAAAGGAGTATCTTCATTACATCACACTCCGAATGTGATCGCTGAGTCATAGTTTGTTCAAGTTGGAAGGAATCTTAGATATCCGCTAGCCTGGCCATTTCCTTTAGCATGCGAAATGTGATCAATCCCACCAAGCGGGGAATGTCTTAACTACTTGCCGACATAGGATCTTAGTAACCTGAAGACAAATAATATCCAAAAGGTAGTATAAAGACGTTCCAAAATCTGGCTAGATCTGAGGGTGTTCATTGGAAGATCTTCACACTGTGAATTTCTATTTCATTGTAAACTCTACAAGATTTGGGAATATGTTCATGGGTGGGAACAAGGTCAGCTAGAATTTTTTTTCAAGTTGTTAAGGTAGATTCACAGCAAGCAATTCTTTTAAATTTAACAGTCTCTCATTGAGAGATCGTTACATGCAAGACTTGTCAAAGGTACTCTAGAGGGATCCAAAGGTGAGGCCACTATCGCTGCCCCCAGAGGCTCTCAGTTGCATGCATGGCCAGGCAAACATGTACCAATCATCCTGATATCAGGCCAACCACAGCACCTGCTGTAATAGAGAAACAAGGTTCAGAGGGAAAAATAACTGCAAGGCCTTCGGCCCAGCAGGTGAAAAGGGAAGGAAGTACCTATTCCTGGAGGGGTAGGTGAAAATCCAGCACATACGTGGAAGAAGGCAAAGGCATACTGATGAAGGAATCATCATTAGCTAAAGCAAGGGATAAATGAAAATCATTTTTAAAAATTTTTACACCAACTATATTTCGGACATTTTAGAAGTATAAATTCATTTTATACTCACAACAACTGAATAAATTAGGTATCACTGCTTCTATTTTTCAGAGGAGGAAACTGGACTTTGGAAAGATTGAAAATGTTATCATATGAGGGTGAGGATTATATAAGGCATATGGGGCCAAACCCAGATATAAACCCCTGCAAGGCTGCCTCCAATGCCAGGGCTTTTTCCGCCTCCCGAGGCTGCCTCCCAGGGAGGGGGAGATGGCAAAGCATATTTTAGGGACATTAGCTCCATGCGGCTAGTTCACAGGGACAGGGGAACTCGATGGTAAGAGGTTGAGAAAATGAGGCAGATGACAGGGAAAGGAGGTTAGAAGGAGGAAAACAAGGTAAGAGCTTTGCTGCTGGTTGTTTTCTAACAGGAAGGAAATTACAGAAAGCCTCAAGATTTAGGGCTCAGAAGGAAGGAAAGGGAGGTTTAAGATGAGAAAAAGTGACGGCTGAGCAGGATCACAGAGAAAAGAAATGAGTCCAGGCACAGTGGTACACACCTGTAGTCCCAGCTACTCAGGAGGCTGGGGCAGGAGGATCATTTGAGCCTCAGAGGTCAAGGCTGCAGTGAGCTATGATCGCACCACTTCACTCCAGCTTGAGTGACAGAGTGAGACCCTGACTCAAAACCAAAGAAGAAGAAGAAGGAGGAGGAGGAGGAGGAGGAGGGGGAAGATGGGGAGGAGGAGGAAGAAGGAGAAGGAGGAGGAGGAGCAGAAGGAGGAGGTTAGCAGCAAGAGTGGGAGCTTTAGCCTTCGAAAGAATAAGGAACATTTCTTCCCCAAAACAGGATGAAAGGAAAAGAGAATGAGAAATTATCCCCATTTAAAAAAAAAAAAAAAAAAAAAAAGGACCAGGCATGGTGGCTCACGTCTGTAATTCCAGCACTTTGGGAGGCTGAGGCGGGTGAATCAGAAGGTCAGGAGATGGAGACCATTCTGGCCAACATGGTGAAACCTTGTCTCTACCAAAAATACAAACAATTAGCCGGGCGTAGTGGCACGTGCCTGTAGTCCCAGCTACTTGGGAGGCTGAGATAGGAGAACAGCTTGAACTTGGGAGGTGGAGGTTGAAGTGAGCCCAGATCACACTACTGCACTCCAGTCCGGGTGACAGAGTAAGACTCCGTCTCAAAAAAAAAAAAAGAAAAAGAAAAAAGTCAGCAATCTCTGTAGTGTGGAGAGGTGGTTTGCTTAGCCAATCGGGTGAAGAGGTCTGTTCCAGAGAGAGGAACGAGCAGGGTCAGTTAGGGCTGGAGCAGAGTGGAAACGATTTGGAGCAGCTGTCCTGGGAATCTGATAGGGAGCTAAAAACAGAGTCAGAGGAGGATGCCTGAAGGCACTGGGAGCGTCCCCAGCAGGACCGGGCAGGGCGTCCAGTTACTTTTGGGGCACAAATCTCTTCAATGGAATTCAGCACTTTGGATCAGGAGTAGATGAAAGGATTGCCCAGGGAGACACAGGGGAAGGTCAAGAGGGTAAGAAAAGGGAGCTGCTTTTGAGAACTTTGCCAAATCATTTCACCACAAAAGGAAGGAGGGAAGGAACAGATGCAACCAGGCGTGGTCCACAATGCCAAACACGAGGAGGGGCTCCAGGGGCCACTAGCTCCATGTGGCTAGTTCACGGGGACAGGGGATCTTGGTAGGTAAGGGGTTGAGAAAATGAGGAAGATGACGGAGAAAGGAGGAAGAGGAAGACAAGGTAAGAAGTGGCTCGGTCGTAGCTCACTGCAGCCTTGATCAAGAGGCAGGCTTGACCTCCAAGGCTTCACATTAAAGGCAAAGAGGAGGCTTGGCAGGAATGAGTGAGTGAGAGCTGTAGAAGGACGGGGTGGTGGCTACACAGGCATTTCAGGGATGGCCACGCGGAGGGTGGAGCCTCCTGCAGGATGTGGCTGTGAAGAGTGG